CTATAATAGGATGCCAGTCCTAGAAATGCTTGTAGTTGTGTAATGTTTTTAGGTGAAGGAAGTTTATTAAGTTTATCTACTTTTTGAGGATCTAATTTAATTCTATTGATTCCAACTATATGGCCAAGAAATTGCATTTTGTTTGTACAGAAATGATACTTTTCAGGGTTAATTCTTAGATTGGTATTTTTAATAAGATTGAATATCTTGTAAATGTTGTTCAAATAATTCAGAATATATATTCATATCATCGATATACATCATAGCCTTTTTCCAGAGAACAGGCTTAAGAACATATCTATAAGCCTTTGAAAAGTTGATGGTGTATTACAGAGTCCAAAGAGTATAACATTGAACTCATATAACCTATATTTTGTGATGAATGCTGTTTTTTCTCGGTTTTCTTCTTTAACTTCTACTTGCCAATAACCAGAAGTTAAATCTAGAGATGTGAACCATTGAACATTTCCTAGATTATCAAGCATTTCATCAATACGAGGAAGAGGGTAAGTATCCTTTTTAGTGACTATGTTTAACTTTCTAAAATCAATACAAAATCGTAGTTTTCCATTTTTCTTTTTAACCAAAACTACAGAAGAACTCTAAGAGCTGTTTAATTTTCTAATAATACTATCTTTTTTCATAATTTTAATTTCTTTTTGGATATGATCTTGTTCTATTGGTGAAGCTCTGTAAGCTCTTTGTTTAATCAGATTAGAATTATCAGTATTAATTCCATGGTATACTACATTTGTTTTTCTTAATTTAAAGAATTTAGTTGCAAAAATTTCTGAATTTTGTTTTAACAAATTGGTAACTTGTTGTTTGTTGTTGTTAATTTAGATTATGTTCAATATAGGTTGACTTGTCTTCTGTAATTTGTATAGAATATCCTTTTTGATCTTGTTTTTGTTTTTTTTTCATAATTTCTTTTATTTCAGGTTGAATTAATTTAAATGCTTTGTCAATATTATTATTTCGAGGGTCATGGATATTTTTAACTCATACATTTGCTATTAATTGTTGATTAGCTTGGGCAAATGTTTCTCCAACTTGTACTCTTGTAGAATAACTTAGTTCTATAGGTATGTCATCTTCCTCTTCAAGTTCTAATTCTAATTTCTAATTAGAATATAGATCTTTAAATTTGATGAGATAAGTGATATTTGGATCTGCTATCCATTGTTTACAGTTAATAAGGATATATTCTGTTTGATCATTAATGCCTATACTCATATATTTAGCATAATAATCAATAACAGCATGAACTTGGTCTAAATATTTATTGTCTAATACTACATTATATTCTTTAGATTCGGTTACTAACATATCCATTAGTATTGTTTTGCTTCAATTCGAACAGGTATATTTTGAACTCTTTCTGTTGGTATTGATTTATTCCTCATTATATCTACTACTTTGACATTGCTTAGTCTGTCAATTGTTCTATTTGCTTTTTCAAGGAAGTGTTTAGCAATTACATATCCTTTAGATCCAGTATCAATTAAGACATTTATTTCAATTTTTAGAACTTTAGCTATAGCAAAAAGAGCAACCTTAACTTGATTTTCTGAATTTTCTTCATTATTATAAACTTCACTTGAGTTCAACCTAAGTATTTCTATTATTTCTGCTTCTTCTTGATTCAACCAGGAATCATCATTAGTTTCTAAATTATTATTTTTGTTCAAAAGTTCATCTATTTCATCTAAGAGCATATCATACAAGTTTTCTTCTTTGTTTGATGAAGGATTTAATTTCTTGACATGCTCACCCTCTGGAAATGTCACAATTTGTTTAAAAAATTGTGTTGTCCAACACTATTTTCAGTGTTGTTTTGGGTTTAGATATTATTTTTATAATAATTTAGAAAGTTTTGTCATTGTTCATTGGTGTTGTTATTATTATTATTGTTATTTCGATTGTTAGGGTTATTATTACAATTGTTATTATTATTGTTATTGTTTCTATTTTGATTATTATTATTGTTAAAGTTATGATTATTATAGTTGTTAGGATTATTATTGTTATAATTGTTAGGATTATTATTGTTATAGTTGTTAGGGTTATTATTATAATTGTTATTGTTGTAATTGTTATTATTATAATTGTTGTTTGGTCGATTATTATTACAATTATTGTTAAACCTATTTTAGTTTTGAGATCTAAAATTATTATTATTAGGTCTTCAGTTTTGATTCATCTGGCAATTTCTAGTACTATGTCCAACTTGTTGACAATTTGTGCAGAAAGGAGCCGTACAATTAGAAGCAAATGTCCTGGTTGTTTGCATCTAAAACACAAAGATTTTTAGAAAACAAGAAAAGAAGCATTTATAGAAGTCATGTATTTATTTGAGCCCGAATTTAAAAATGCTTTAGCAAATACATACATATAAAAGGGTTTTTATAGGGCGTGGATATAGGGGGTTGCATTTAGAGAGTCTAACTGTACTATAAAACTTATGTCTGAATCAGGTTCTAGTACCAGACTTCGAAACCAGGTTCTGAAACCAGGTTTTGGAACTTTTTAAAACCAAGTTCTTAGGTTTACAAAATGGAACCTAAAGGTTTTGAAACCAAAACCGAATCTAACCATCCCTAGCTATGATGCTGTAGTGAAGTTGCAGCTTTTTTGTAATATTGACATAAGTCATAATGACAGTATATAGTATAATATATGTCATAACGTAGGATGTAATTTTTGCTTTATTACGTAGTAATGTCTTTTGATGATATGACATAAATAAATAAGTTAACTCTTTCTATAATGAACTAACGCAAAAACATTGTTTTTAACCCATTTATTGACCCGCCTAAAAAAAATTTTCATTTTTGATATTATATGATCATATTAATATGGGTGATCGTGATAATTAATCTGTAATAAATTAAGGGAATTGATATTTATACCCCGTTTTTTGATATTCATACCCTCTATTAAACAAAAAAGTACTCCAAAATAGATATAAACCTCTTTAGTAATCTTAAAATTAGATTAGTAGTTTTTATTTCAAGTTAATTATTATTTGTTAACATTAAATATAAATAACTGAAGAATTTTTAACCCAATTTTAATAATTTTACTACCAATAGAATTAGAAAAATATGAAAAACTTTGCTTAAGATTAAAGAGGTTTACTTAATAACAATATTTGTTTAAAGTAATTTTTATTTAATGGGGGTATGAATATCAAAAATCGGAGGTATAAATATCAATTCTCTAAATTAAACTTGTATAAGTTAAATACGAATATAAAATGAAAATGGTGTATAGGTGCGGACATAATATGACTCCACCATTAAGTCTCCGCTACGCTCCGGACAATAAAATTACTAGTCCTTTAAGTATAAAAACTTACTTGATTCTACGTAAAAGAAACAATTGCATTAATAAAATAATAATAATAATAATAATAAAACAGGATATACTATAAAAAAAAAGAAGATAAAAATAAAAGACATTTACTAAAACGCACTTATGGTGTTTTACACTTTGGATACATTCTCTCAAAAACTAGCTAATTCATCTGTACGGGTGTTCTAAGTAAAAACCCTTCCCAAATGTTAACCCTAACGTGAAAAATTTTGCATTAAAAAATTCATATACAAAACTAAGTAAAACCTATAAAACATAATAAAAACATATGATATGTGCCAAACCACTATAGGTGCATTTTATAAATAAAATAAATACACAGTAAAAAAAAAATAAAAATAAAAATAACAAAAAAAAAAAAAATAAGGTCAATGCAAAAAGAAACCAAAAAAAGGGTCAAGATCGATTAATCTCAGGTCGCCTCAAGTTGAAAATTTTTTTTGCAAGTCCATGTGGGAGCCTCAACTTATTACTCACATTCGACCTCAAATTAATTATTCAACCGATCGTTCGAGGACTAAACCAGCTCTTAACTACCAAAATACCCGAACATTTCAACAAACAGCGATAGTGTTTTCAAGATGAGCACAACTATTTCATTTTTATTTCCACTTTTGTTGAGCATTTCGTTTGTTATTTTCACATCACTTAATGATTTGCCAAAAAAAGACCCTAAAATCGGATAAATTTCCGAATTTGAATTTTTTATCACAATTTTTTTATCCGTCAATAATAATCATCGTCCCTAGTGCAAAGCTCTAGAAGGAACGTCTAAATAGGTGAGAATATAAAATGGAGGGAATATAGAATTATTGGATGAGTATATCATGCATATCACATGAGCTTTCGAAATTTTTTAGGTGACGTTTTTAAAGATGGAACTGGACTTTTAACATGGGGCGTTGTCAAATTTCAAAATTAGTTGTTTTTACTATCAGTTTTTAGTTAACAGGTGCGTATCTGGCATATTTATCTTTGTTTGCATCTCCATTGATCAAACTTGCTCAAATAAATAAACTTGTTCATAGTGATAAAATTCTTATTCTCACCACGATATGTTTAGGCGACCCCATTTTTGGGGGTAATGGTAATCATTGATATTATGAGCATATGACTTTTATTTGAGTAACGCAAAGGGAAAGCCGGAATTTCTTTCTCATTCAATTGATAAAATTGATAACTTTACTGGATCACTTATACTTCAAATAGCCAAACTTCTAAATCGACGAATTCTTTCTGTTTACTGCTTCTTATAAATCATTATGACAGGATTGTTAACGACATTATCCAAGGATTTGTGTCATCTTCTTGAAGAGGCAATTGAATATAATGTATTAATCACTGCCGGTACTGATAACAACACAAAAACTTTCAAAGCTCATACTGTAATCTTACGTTCTCGGTCTGCTTATTTTCGTAACGCTTTATCGGATACATGGGCAAAAAAGGAATCAGATCATATTGTATTTACTAAGCCAAATATTTCACCAGCAGCATTTGAAGTTATTTTAGGGTTAGTATAAATATTAAGAGTTTTTTTGAGTAAAATATTTCTTCATTAATTTTAAAAAATATTTTTCAGATATATTTATGGTGCGACCATTAATCTACCAGCAATTGATATGTTGATAATTCTCGAAATTCTAATCGCCACCGACGAGCTTTGTCTCACGGAATTAGCTGATTACATCATTGAGCATCTTTTTATCCATAAACAATGGATGCGAGAAAATTTTATTTTGATCTATCAAACAGCATTCCTTAAGGGATCGTTTAAGAATCTTCAATTATTTTGTATGGATATTATTGAAAAGACACCAGATATAATATTCAAAGCCAAAGATTTTACAGGCATTGACCCCAATCTGCTAACTACTTTATTAGGACAAAGTAACTTACTTACGCCAGAAATTGAAATTTGGGATGCACTTCTCAAATGGGGAATGTCCAATACATCACCTACTCTCGATCCAAATTATAAAACTTGGACACAAGAATCATTTCAAAAATTACAAGAAATTTTGCAACAATTTATTCCTCTTATCAATTTTACAGTAATTTCTTCAAGCGATTTTTATTATAAAGTTATACCATTTCAACTCATTCTTCCAAGTGATCTATACGATGATTTACTTAAATTTCATTTAGCACCTCAAATCAATCCAACACACCCATTTTTACGCTCTCCAAAAAGGAATCAACCGTTCCAATCAATATTTATTAATAACAATCACGCAGCTTGGATAATGAGTCAAATTGATTACGATCAACCAGCCATAACTTACAATGGAAATAATCCAAAATTACTTCCTTACGATCTTAAATTATTAATACGTGGTAGCAATGGTTGTATGTCAGATGAAATATTTCATAATTGTTGCGATTTGAAAGGACCTACTATTACTATAATTAAAGTTAAGGATATGGATGAAATTTTGGGAGGATATAATCCCCTATCATGGGATCACAGCACAAAATGGGCAGAGACTTCTTCTAGTTTTATATTTTCTTTAAATAGAGCAAATGTTGGTCAATCTATTGTTAGTAGAGTAATAAATTATAGTAAAGCAATTAGAAATTCACATGGGCCATCATTTGGCGATGGTGATTTGTGGGTGAAAGTCACTTGTGTTAGAAATCTTGCCCTTCCTAGTTTTTGTAGACCGAGAAGTTATGAGAGAAGAATTTTTGATTTAGAACAATTTCATGTGGAAGACTATGAAGTATTTCAGGTTATTAAAAAGACTAATGTTATTTATCTCTAGTGAATTTTTTATCATTAGGTACATTATCATTGTTTAAATAAAAAAAATATATATACTTTCTTTTTTTTTTTATAAGCAATAATGCAAGTGTATCTAAACTGGCTATATCATATTTTTGCCTAATTTTCGTGTGAATTAATACTTCTTATTAAAGGCACAAAATATTATCTATAATGGCACTTCTGATAAGTGAATGGAGTATGTACGTACGTACGGTGCACGCACTCTATAAACCTCAGTTTTACCTAATTTAGAAACGATATACATACTATGATGTGATGTTTGATCGTGATTATAATGAATATGAGATATAATACCATCCATGCGTAAATGCTCTTTTTGATGCATTTATTTATTTAACTAGCAACTAGAAAAAACGGCGACGTTTTGTTGGCTGGAACTAGGCCTCCGCATGGGCCGGGTAATAGCAATACCCTAGCCCTACCCGTTTGTGTAAGGGCTTATTTTTTGAGCACTTACCCTACCCTAGGACCCAAAATTTAATACCCTAGCCCCAGGGTTGGCAATGGAGCCAATGGAGCTCAATGGTTGTGCGAATGGAGCTCAAAAAACTAGTATCCATTGACTCTATTCAGAGCTCCATTGGTTCCATTCGCAACTCCATTGGGCTCTATTGAACTCCATTATGATGAAAGCATAGATACGTAACTGGATAAATGCCAATGGTGCCGAAAATACATTGTGAATAATTTTAGCTAAGTAATTAGAACTGAAACGATGATATGCTCCCAGAACATTAGCAAGTGAGATTGTGCCAGGTATCATCGTAACAGTAGAACGAGCGAGAAGCAGCACCAGCTGGGGTTTTCCACCTACTCAAAGCAGGCCGGTTGTCAGGAGACTATCATCTTTGGCGGGAAGGGCTGGTCGAGAAACTTGTTTGTTGTGTTGAGTGTCGAAAGTGACCTTTTTCGTCGTTCTTTATACTGTATATCGATTTAGTGTTGTTAGGCGAAACCTCAAGGTTTCGCCACAGACGAAAGGCGAAACCTAGTTTCGACTTTCGCCAAAAAAAAATTAAAATGGTGAAATGGCGAAATTGGCGAAAGGTGCGAAACTGGCGAAACTGGCGAAACAAATAGAAGGTGGCGAAACTCGTAGAAGGTGATAAATCTTGTAAAAGAGGCAAGAATAGAAAGTCAAAACACTTTTATACAATTATTAATCTTTTTACTACTATATTTTGATATCATGTATTATTTATGTTATCAATTTACTAACTCTTGTTTTACTAATAACTTATTTTATCAACAGGTTTTTTAAAAATTTTTTATGTAACCTTAATTTTAATTCTAAACCTGACCTAACGCAATAGCCGGAATTACTTTGTGGTGAGTTAAACTATTGATAAATTAAACTGTCGATGAAGTGAATATTGATAAAATAAAAGAACCCAAATATAATTTGTCAAAAAAAAGAAATATTGAATTATAAAATCTGGAAAATTGCATTTCAGGAAGCTGAACTACAGAAAAGAAAGGAAAAACAGTAAAAGCTGTATTCATGAAAATTACTTACCTGGGTAATCTACCCACATAAGACCAAGTTTGTATTTCGAAATGGATACAATCACTACTTTAGCATAGGCTTTTATCTTACCCTAGTATTTAATTTAATACATAATGTATAATTATGCTGTCATATACGATGCTTCTTAATCAACGATCTAAATTTTATATTGATATATTATTATGGGTCAATGACATAGCAATTATTTCCTTAAAGTTAGCTCTGAGACTTAGAGCTAGATAAATTAAAAAATTGAAAATAATTGTCAGTGATAATAATGTTAATGAACTACTGTATTCTCTAAATGCACGTTATTGAATTGTAGTCCCAAGGGTGTGCACTTAGAGAGGTTTGACTTTACTTACATATGTATAGTACTTAAAGGAAGTGTTAAAAAAAATTCTAACAATATAACAAAAATTATTTAAACATTTAGATAGATTTCTTTTATATGGCTGAGTTGATTTAATTATAAGTTCAAATGTCTGAGGTTTGATTTTTCTTTAATATTATTCAATTACAAACAAAAAGCTATTATATTACTTGTTTTGTACATTTTTTTATATAAATCATATACTATACTTATTTACCATATGCAAAATATTTTGTTTCACTAACATGATTCAGTTATTTTGAAGTTTTAGAGAATTTTGATATTTGACTTTCTCTAGAAGTTTATCTTTACTAATGGTTTTGACAGAATTTTGCTATTTTATCAAAGTTTTACTGTTTAGTTAAAATTTCTTCAGTTTTTTTAACAAATTTTTTCTGTATTTAAGAATAATGGCTAAATTATTTTTTCAATTAAAAAAATGCTATAATTAACAAGATTATCTAAATATTATCGCACAGTGGATGACCATTTACAGAGTAAAAACTTATTTCTGAATCTTTTTTTTTACTGCACTAACAAATTAATAATAAATAAATTAACAAATTATGTACAATATATAATTATAGAAAATTTAGTGTTAGTGATCTAAGGTTTACAAGTTTAGTTTAAACATTATATACAAATAATTTTTTAAAGGGTTCCAATCAATTCATTGACAATAATTTCACTGAATGCTCATTTAGCCAATATTACATAGAGTTAGCTTTAAGCATTTGATTAGTTGCAGATATATATTTTTACTAAATTTCACCTGACGTAATGTCAGCTAAATAAGCTATCAGTGAAGTGATTGTCAGTAAAATAATACAGACTTTTTTTAAAGTTATATACAAGTAAGACTACATAAATATATAAGCCTAGTATATCTAGAAATCTTTTTTAGATATGGTAGACCCAGTTTATAAACTTCACAAAATCTAAAATTAGAAATAATACTATAAAAATTGCAGAAATGTGATTATATGTGACAGTTAATTCAAAATTATAAATAGTGCTAAATATCATATTAAATATACTTCAATAAAGGGTGTAGTGACTTAGAGTAGTGGTTAAGTTGTCACCCCCAAGCAGCAGGTCTAGAGTTCGAATCCCACCAGAGACGTTTTTAGAAAAATAGGTCTGTGTTTCAGTAACAATTATTTGATGATCGGTTGGGTATATTACCTGTAATCTTGGTACTACTATCTCAAAATAGAAGCTCTTGGGCGATCCAAATCCAAGAAACCGGAATAATTGAAACCTGTTTGGCAAGACCCGAGTAAAAAGGTAGTGAAGATATTCGACGATACTGCGGAAAAGTTGGAAACCAGAGACTAAAGAACAGGACGAAAAACCCTGGGGCAAGAAGGGTCTACCAATCTGGCCGCCAGAGTCACACCAGAGGAAAAGGTCCTATGCTATAGAATTAGGAACCAAGGGAAGTAAAACCGGAAGGCACTTAAAGCCTAGGTACAATGACCCGTCCAGACTAACTGGTTTGGTAGTTGGGGAGGGATCAGTATAAGGACCAGCTTGATGTGGGTATCGGGATCGAAACGAACCTTGCAAGGACACCGGATACTGGAATTGTGCGCTTTAATAGTTCGCCTTGACTGCTAGTGGTGGTTTCGGCTGCTGCGGAAGGTATTCGTAGCCTAATCTGGAAGGGTGTGGGACATAGAAAGATTAGGGGGGTATGTACTACACCCTCCCTAGGGCAACCCGGTAGTATGAGAACTCTACTGGGTTATCTATAGAATTAGAGTACAAGTAGTATAGCAGATGTCGATCTGGGTGGTCTTCAGTTTAGACCTAT